TTTCATTTTATGCGCTCATTTTTCTGAATCAAAATTTTTCCAATCGATTTTTAAGTTTAAAAAAATTGGTGTTTTGAAAAACTGTTTCGAAAGATTAGACATTTTGAAGAGCATACTCAAATAATTTGATGAGGATCATATTTGGACAAAAATAGAAAAATAGACACACACATATTTTACAGAGCCAACGCATTAATTCGATCCATTTTTCGTATCAACCGTGTGACAACACAATGAAAATTGATTGAAGTGCAAAATATATCGTTTCATCGAACTGGATGGATTTTTATATAAGTGATCGACATGATATGAATTTATTGGTTTTGTGTTGTTTTTTTTTCGTCTGAAAAAAACTTTTTATTTGTAACGATAAGATAACACAAAGTATTGATTGATTTGTAACCAACAAACTGATGGTCTTTCGTCAACCATTTTAACGTTCAAGGGTTGTGTCGATGAAATCGTTTTTATTTTGTGCAAGGAAGTTTGATTGATCAATACCTTTTCGCTGTGTATGCGATCGAACGATAAAGTGCTTTTTTTATAAACCAATTTATGATTCAAATCAATTGTGCTAGAGAAAAAACAAACTTCAATGAAAACCTTGGAAATTTAATTGAAAGAAAGTGACAAACAATAACTGTGTTTAAGCCGTATAATCTGAAAAATGAGTTCAAATATTCAACACGATTGTAATAATCAACAGGTATCATTTTGATTTAACAACAAATTTGGTATTTTTTTTAAATAAAAGTTTCAATTTTCCCTAATGTAATCGGGACACAACTTGTGCCGTCTAATTTTTAGACAAAAACTGTGAAAATTATATTTTTGTTTCATTTTACGTTTGAATTTAATATATTTTTGATGTTCGATTGTGATTGGAAGATAGCATTATGCATGAAAATTGAGGAATTTAAAAAAAGAAATGCCCAGAAAGAGAAGAAATAAAAAGAAAATGTTGCAAGAAGAATAAAAAAGGGTCGTCGTCGGCATAAAAAGCACGCGCTTCCACAAAACATATTTATGCACTTTGCATTTTAGTGGCAGCGATTATTTGTGCGTTTCTGCTTTGATTTTTTGTTGTTTCTTTCACGAATATGTGCCTAAGTAATCCATAAATAACTAATAAAAATGTTTAAGACAATGGCATGGCCCCGAAAAAAGTTCAGCCGATTTGAATTCGTATGAAGATGGAATAAAGATCATCGAAATGTATGCATTCCTTTGGTTTGTCGTTTGCAGCAGAGACACGCGCGCTCACCAAAGTTAAAAGTGGGAATAAAAGACATTTTGAAAAATGGATTCGTCAAGCGGACCAAGAAACCACAACGACCAACACATTTTAAGCACTTAAAATAAAATTTGAACGAATGAAAATAAAATAAAGTGAAATACAAATTGAGAGTATTAATTTGTATAAAAAAAAACCATGAAAAGTGCCATCCACAACCAATAAATTATTTTTAGAATGCAAATTTTTGGACAAAACACACCACCGAAATATAAACGCTGTTTAATGCTTGACATTTTAAAGCATGAGATCAATGACTGTGGCGACTGAAGTGTCATTTATTTCTTAAGCGAGGAGTTTTTTCTTTCATTTAAAAATTCAAGTCGAAATGAAATCGAAAATGATATCGATTTGATTCATATTCTATGTCCAAAAAAAAGGTTTTTCTAAAATTATTTATATGAAAAGGGTGAAATTTCAATTAATGGTAATTCATTTTTTTTTGTCACCATATGTTACGAACAATCAGCGTGAATTTGAATATTTTAACCATTGAATCTTAATGCATTTTATGCGATCTTTGTTGCTTTGTTGGAAAGTTAGAAATTAATATCCTTTCTTTCAAGCGAATCGTTCATTGTCATAATTGTTGACTTCGGTTCTCTTCAGTTTTATCATTATGTTCGATGTGCATTTCTAACGGAGCGACACGTTCTCCTATCGCCTCTGTACTCAACCCGTATTTTATGCTCTAATGCTGCGGAAAATAAAAAAAGCAGCAAATAGCTCACGTTTACCTGGTGGTGATAATTGTAAAAGCCGGGTTTTTTGTTGTTCTTATTCGCTTATGGCCAATTTATATATATGTGAATTCGGACATTGTTGTTGATGTCGTCATTTGCTTGCTTGTTTGTTTGTGCATTTGTATCACTTTATTTGCGTTTGCATGCTCTACGTTTCGTTAGCAAACACCAATGTAGGTCTTTTTTCTTTGCCTCTCCTCATTTTGGTTGAGTAATTTTCAAGTTTGTTTTGTTTTATTATTTCCGTTGGATTTCTCTCCACAATTTTTTTTTTTTAATTCTTACCTGTGCATTTTATTTGATCTCCGAAAATGCATTTTGGTATCTTGCAGAATCTTAAATTTTTCGCTTTTTCGTGATGACATTTATTCATTTTGGTGAGCAGAAAATGGCATTCTATTTTCTGATGCGAATCATTAAACGATTTCCGTCAATCCGAAAAAGAGGCGAAGAAAGCCATCAGCATAATAAACATGGATATGAAGTGGTTTGGCACGCGCTCAAATGCTTGTTATTGTCGCTTGATTTAACATCGTTTATATACAAAAAACAGCAACGACAAGCATCCAAATGCATGTGTGTTCTTATCCATACGAGAGCGCAAAGCATATGTCTTTGGATTTCGTTTTCGACGAGAAAATTGAGATCGATTTCACGATAAGATTAACACAAACACACATGCCGATGAATATGTGACACTGGCCAAGCTTGAGATGAATCAGCAACGTATAATGTAAAAAGTCACACTTTAGATTGTAATCGATCCCATAACAAGTCATCAGTTTCACATATGCTTCTTGGTTTCTGTGCTTGAATTCATCAAAATGTCTTTTAAATCCAATTTATACATTGATTTCAATGTGGAACGGTGACATTTCACACGTCAAAAGAAATGTCTTTATTTACAATTCATATAGACCGGCTAAAGTTTATTTTCAGTTAAATTTACACTTTCACTCGAAATCCGATCGGACAGAATATCCGGATAAACAAAAGAGTGTATCCGCTCATCCGTAAAATTTCAAAGAAGTTCAAGACATCATAATAAACAAAAAGATGAAGCATTTTTTTTATTGTCTTTCGCTTTTGTTTTAAAATCGGCTAATAGAAGTGTTAACCTGTCACTTTGATGTAAGTAAAATGACAATCGTCCGATGTTTGTACCTTGGCGAGAAAGAAAAAACACTCGGAATAGTCACCATGGGCAAACATATATTCTGTCCATTTTTTGTTTACTTTATTTCGAATATGTATACTTCTATATGTAAACGGCTGCTCTAACTCACATTTACTTTGACGTAAGACGTCACTTATCGTAATGAATATCTTCGATGTTTTGATGATTCACCGTTTGGGAAAAAAATATTAAGTTGAACGAAAAAAAATAAGGACTGATTTATTCGTAGATTAATTTAACTTGATGATATGCCACACATCGTTTTGGTCGTTGGTCTTATCAATCATGTACCTGCTTAAGCAAACAAAAGACGGTGGATCTGATATGAAAATTCGTTTCGAAAGTAAAAAAAAAACACACGATGTTTTCATAAACAGTATGATCACAAATCATAAAGCGTAATCATAAAATGATAAAATAAATCAGATATGTTACGTTTTTTTTCCACTTTGCATCTACTCGGTGCCATTTCAATGCAAACGACGAAAAAAAAGAATCTACTATAAAAAATGTATCTTCATGTTTTAATCACAAAATGAGTACATGCGCATTTCTAGATTACCTCATGCCAGCGCACATTTGATGTGAGTGAAAGAGGAGGCGTTTATGGCAACGTGACCATTTCGTTGTTGTCAAAATAAGTGGTCATAATGGTGAACGAACAGAAAAAATATACACATCATAATATCGGAATGAGTGTGGTTTTCTCTTACACGCAGCAGTTAGCGCGCCCCGGGTTTATCTTTTTTATCATATCACGCTGTGAGCGATATCATTGCGATGAAATTTAATCGGTTGTTAAGACAACCAAACATTTTGATGTGATGTCCAATATCGCCAAACATGATAAATCTCTGTATGTGCTTTATCGCCGGCACGGAAATCGATATCAAATCGTGTGCTACCGAATTAATTACAATCACCTTTATTGTATATACATTTTTTTTGCTGGCGCCAATTACCGTAATACACGTTAAATCTCAATAAATTCAAATTATTTGAAATTTTCGATTTAAAAAAAATGAATGATTTTTCCAATTATTTTCTTGAAAAAACTAAATGATAATGTTTTGAGATTTGATCGGTAAAAGAGTCGCTTTAAATTGTCCACATTCCATAGTGTCGCACCAACCAGTTTGATCACATTTTTCGTTGGCAATGCCCATTCGGACTTCCATCAAAGAGCCGATATTGCTAAAACACTTCTGATCGAACTAATTCAAATGGCTAACAAAAAAAAAAGACCGAAACATCGAAAAAAGCATGAAAACATTTCCAATTCCAAAATGTACATAAAAATTAGTTCGATCGTCTGTTTTACTTTAAATTAGTTTTATTTATATTTATTTTGATCAGATCGTTGTGTTTTTTTTCTCCTCTCTATCTCTTTCTCCATTGCCGACCGTTGTTTTTTTATTGGAATTTACTCGTTTTCATATGCAAAACGATCGGTACGCTACGTAGAGAATACTTCGACTTTAACATATCTTAAAATGAATTTATGCAAATAAACAATCAATCGATTGCGCGGCTTCTTTGAGATGCGCGATTTTGTTGTGTTTTATTTTTTTTGTTCTTTTTTCTCTCATTTGATTCGTTTACGCTTCTCTCGCATTTCGACCCTCTTGTTTCGACGTGATTTTATCAATAATTATTTATTATTATTTAAAATAAAACACCAAATCAATAATGATAAAAGACGATGAACGAAAATGGAATGCAAAAACTGTAATAAATATTAACATTTTCGGTGATTTAATTTTGTTATTTTATCGAATCACGACAGGTGACCGACACCGATGACGCTGATAAAAAGAAGATCAAAATCGAAGAACCGTCGGATGACATTACCACGCAATCAAATCAACAAACAACCGTGCATGAATCACCACAAAATCAACATTCAAATCAACCGCAAGCATTAATTACCACGGAAAATGCACACAACGCCACACTATCCAGTACGGATACGGTAGCATCGACATCATTACCAACCACGGTCATTACAACGCAACGCCATCGCATGATTACAACCACCGGACAGATTCGGTAAAGATTTTGGTTTCTACATTTTTAAAAAGTCTCATTTACACGAATGTTTAAGAATGTTTTGCTAAAAAATTATTAATAATAATTTATCCTGCAGCGAAATTGATGACATCAATGAAATTGAGCCACAGAAAGAGTATGTGCAACGGTATCAATTGGTTCCAGTGACTGAACCATCATACAATCAACAAATCTACGAACAGCACGGAGCTCGAGGAAGAACGATCAGCGATAGTCCAGAATCGGCCAATATTGCAATACCAAATAATGGTACCATTTATGTGGCGTCACAGCATCCAAATGCTTCAGACAATTTGAATGGCATTCGATATGCGACCGGACCTGATTTACGCTTCGAAGATGAATATGGCCAACGATATGAATATGGTCAACCGCCGCATGCTCATAATTCACACTCGGCCGCTGGTGAGGACATCAAAATCGAATTAATTCGAAACCAACATGCGCTTCATGGAAAGGTTAGCATATTTCTTCGAAAGATTAACGAAAACAAAAAAAAAATGACATGAGTTTGTTTAAAATATTAAGTAAACAAAATGATTAATAACCAATTTAAAAGCCATAAAATCTTCACACTTATGCGCTAACCAATCTTATCTACAATGTACATTCAACACACACACACTCATAATGTTTTTATTTATTTATTATGATTGCGTATAATGTGTGACTGAATAGATTCATGTCGAAGATGCACATCAACCACCACCACCACAATCCGATACCAAAATTCAGTATACGAATTTAGATGTGTCACCGCAAAACTACTACAGCATTGCCGATGGTTATCCAAGCGGAAGTGGTTTTACTTATATTTCAACGACATCGAATAAAGATTACATTTATCCAGGCAGTCCGAATACAGTGCTCTATAAAGGTAGTTTATTTTTCTATTTGTTTTTCATTTTCCATAATATTATTGAATAATAAATGGAATCAAATGCATCTCAAACAGGCGATCCATCGCTTGCATCAGCGTTCAATAGTCGCTACAATGGAGCGTTGTCACAACATCAAGGTATTATTTACGATTCAAATTCGATTCAACAATCCGGATCGCCCGTATCACAAGTGTATACTGGTTCATGCAAACCAGAATCAGGCTACTGGCACCAAACTGCTGAATACAATGTGAACGCAGTGAGTTTAATGCACGGCAATTAAATTTTTTGTTCCATTTATTTTTATATCTCAATTGCGCTAAAATTAGCGTCCATCATTTCAGGCTCCATTTGGTCAAACAATTGTTTTAGATAATGGAAATGATTATGTTGCAAATGGTGCATCGTGGCAATTACAATCGGATGGTGCATTTGATCAGCCATTGATTGCATCGGGAGCACCAGAGTGTATTAATTGTTCAACATCACAATCAATTCATTGGAGACGTGTCGATGGTCATCCGTTGTGTCATCAATGCCATTATATTCGTCAATCCAGACCGAAAATGGCAAAAAATAAGGCACCAGTCGTAAGTTTTACGCTTGACTTTTAAAATCTTGTTTTGTTGTGTTTTTTTTTCTCATTTTATTATTCCCGAGAAATAGTGAAACAATAAAAAGAGAACATTTCGGAATTAATTTGATCCAAAAACAACAGCAATTTTTTGCTTATAAAAACAAATTGATTTTAATTTATTTCTAACAGACACAGGCCAACAGAAGGTCAGGTGTTATTTGTGCAAATTGTAAAACATCAACCACGACTCTATGGAGACGAAATAATCATGGTGAGCCTGTATGCAATGCATGCGGATTGTATTACAAATTGCATAACGTCAATCGACCGCAAAGCATGAAAAAAGATGGCATTCAAACGAGAAAACGCAAACCAAAATATTCATTGCAAGCAAAACAAAAATCGTCACCGATTAACGGTAAGGGCATTAAGTTTGTCTATTTTCGAGTTAAATTTTAATAAAAAATGTTCCATTTTTTTTTATTTAGACAAAATGCTACCGGCATTGTTTCCGTCTCAAATTCACATTCAGCCCGACATGAAAATTCCAATTTTGCAAGCACATCAACCATCACAAAATCAATTATTGGCTCACACCCAAAATCAATCACCACAGTCACAACATCCGCATGAGGTGCACATTAATGGGCCAACAGCACAAGGTCCAGAGCATTATATCAGCGTCGCACCAACACACCCAACACATTTGCCGCACGTGAGCAATTTGAGTCGCCACATTAATGCCAGGTATTTTTATAGTTGCATTTCTATTTCGATGTTTTTTTTTCTAATTTTGCATGCAAATTGATAACATTTATATTCTCAATTAAATTAATAGTGTCGCATCGATAGACGCTGGACAACATGCCACAAATACAAAACTAACAAGCGTCATTACTTGCACCGGTGCACCTCCCGATTCGATCGAACAATAAAACATCGATTTTTCAAACGAAGTACGACGCACGAATCAAACCGACTATAAAACGACATCGTAAATACTTAATTTAGTTCGATTTGTTTGTGTTTTTGAAGTGCCAGGTTTTTTTTACTACCAAAAACTAATTTTAAAAGCATCTTTTAGCTTATTATATTGAACAGTTTGATGAATATTTTATTTTACGTGAATAGTTTTCCGCATGATGATTTGTATCGAATAGGTTTTTAGCTTGAAATTGAACAATAAATAAGGACTTAATCATAAGATATTAAAATGTCGTAAAACTTTTAATTCATCATAAAAATGCGGTGAAAATATTTTTTGATAAATTTACGTAGACTCTAGCCATTGAAACAAATTGATTGTGTCAATGATTTTTAGCGCATCTATTGGAACTGGTTTTTAATGATTTTTTTAAAGATGAAATTCAAGTCAATTTTTATTCCAAACATTGACATTAAAATGAAACACGGAAAAAATGGAAGCCATAAATGCAGGAGCAAACTTGATATGTTTCTGGAAATAAGAGAGAGAAACCTCGCAAATGTAATAAAAAATAGTTTTTTCTTTGTTTTTTTTTTTATTAAATTAGAAATTTTTATTGTTATAAAATTAGTAACCAAAGTTAAGGTTAAAGAAATAAAATATTTTCAAAGACATCGAATGAAACTTATTTCACTTTTACGAAATATACACGAAAAAAATATCCAATTTATAATGTTTTCTAGATTTGCATGTACCAAGAATCAAAATGTCAGCAAATAAACTAACAACTTCACTTTATTCAACCGTACTTTATTCCATTAAATTCGAATCTTTTTTTACAGTTCAAAATGTGTATCATTCGAAATTGATGTCAGATTTTCATTACCGTAATGAAAAAAAACTCGTCGGTTTATTGAAATCTCGGAAAACTCATGAATTATGTGAATCAATTAATCTAAGTAACAGCTAAATCCGAGTAACTTTTGATTAATGAGTTTTAATTTCAGAGATTTTATTTCATCCAATTTGTATGACATTCAGCAACAATCTGAATTTATACAACCAAACAGAATTTTACAACATTCCCGTGAATATTTGTAGAAAATTATTGGTGATTATTTGAAGCGGTTACAGATTGCTTTCCTTTCCGACAAAGTGTACATTGGTACAACATGGAAAAAATGAAAATATTGAACAAATTGTCGAACTACGTCACTCAATGCAATTTACAAATGTTTGTATTTTTTTCTCTTTCTTTTGAACCGCATACATGGTTTCCATAATCTAAAGTGGTTCGTGATTTTATTTTGGTAGAAATGTTTTTTTCTTCTTCGACATATGCGTGTTAAAAAAAGGAGAAAAAGAAATTATTTTTTTTTCGGTACAATAATAATGACAAATGATAGCAGAGCATGTGCACTTTGTGTCTTCCTCTCCACTGCTATGAGAAATTCGACTCGCATTGAACGGAACATATTTTTTTGAACAAGTGTGTGAAAAGGGAAAAAAATTCATTCGAAAATATAAAAGGATTTCAAAATGATTCGTTGAGAAAAAAAAAATCGAGATGTTTGAGATTGAAAATTGATTTAAATTTAAAGTCACGCATTCGACATTAAAATGTAAGAAGAAGAAAAATTTATGAGATTCGCAATTAGCTATAAATTCGCCAGAATGGCGAGTGACAAAATATGGTTGGCTATTTAAACAAAGAAACTGGTGATCTGTTTCACAATTCATATGGTATGCAAATAAAGGTTAATAAAATTTAGTTCGAGGTCTTAATTGTTCTAAGTAAATGCCGGAACTCTTTTTTTCCCTCTCTGTTCGTGTGTTCAAGGAGACAAGTAAGTAAATGCAGCAAGTAAGTTGTAATGAGTCATAATAGAAGTGAATGCGGCAAATCCACTTTGTGTAATAACAATAAATTTCAAATTTGGAGCAATTTGTAAAAAATCAAGAGCAAGCACGAGAGAGCAGCATAGACGTTTTTATCAATTCCGAACGAGGAAAAGAAAAAAAAATGTTCGAAAAAGATTTCGAATGTGATGGAATCAAAACTATTCGGTATATCATTGAATCAGTTATATCAAAAGAATTTTTAAGTGGTTGCCGTCTCGTTGTTTGATCCGAATCATGAAATGAAAATAGCTGTCTGTGGCAGTGTGCGCAGTTCAATTTGCCTTTTCTTTCTTCTTGCGTCCCGGAACGCCATTTAGATTTTACACGCATTTACTTATTCACATCTCAAGTGCTTTTGAGTTAATAAATCAATAATCGGTCGTATGGTCGCATGATATCGTTAAATTGGATAGAGAGACAAAACGCCATGCAGTTTGACTGTATATTGGAAGCGGGTGAACGGGAACACATCAGTCTAAAGATATACGCACTCATAATAGAGTAACGATTAAACACACTTATATCTTGATGTCATTAAAACCGAAGCAAAAGAAAAAAAAATGAACGAAAAACCAACAACAACAACACCAAAATGAAAAGCACACCAGCCAACCAACTAATAATAAAACATAATGAATTAACGTACATAAAACAAAACCACAACAACAAAAATGCCGAAATGGAATCATCGATGTGGTTGGAAGATGCGATGCAAGATGTGCGCTTACAAAATTGACGAGGCTGACAGCGCGAAAGAGACATGAGACCCCAAGAAAACATTCTATTAAAAGCAGTTCTATGTCAAAGTCTGAAAGCTTGTCGCGACAGTACGCCATAGGGCTTAAGTTCTTTTGCCTTTTTGAATTTATTTCGTTAGTCGTGGAACATATTTGTGTGCACGTATCGTCTGCGCGCCCGCGAAACGTTTTACGTGTATGTGCAGCAGCCGGGGCGCACTAAAGTGTATGTGTCTTGGTTTCGGTCATTTTACATACAGGCAAAGAACGGAAAAAAACACATTATGAAAAGAATGTGCGCTTAAAACTACACACAAATGAATATGCTAATACAACAACGACGAACAATGCCATATAAGATTGCGTCTCATCGTCAAAAGATAATGGTGTTGGCCGGCGTTTGTACACTCAACGAATTTGGACGGTGAACAGTTTTGCGATACCGCATATGCAAGACGGTGTTTATACAAAAATCGGATTTGCGTGTGCTGATAGAATTTTTCATGGGCAAGAACTAAATTAAAGAAGAGATAGCACCAAAAAGAAAGAATTCCTTTTTTTTCACGAAAAAGCCAATCAGAGCGTGCACATTTCATTGTGCTCGGTTTTGCGTTTTTCGGTATTTTCGTATGCACGATCGATCTTCGAAACGGTACACACAACCAAGAATTGGTTTCGCTCTTGCATGATACCAAATGAATTCTCCTCGTTACAATCGCGATTTAATGCCAGGAACTTTAAAAAGCGATTGCACATGATTTACAAACGCGACTGCATACAGAGATAACCACATAAATAAGTGAGTTAAAAAAGAAAGGTGCGTTTTTCTTCAAGTGGCGCCAATAAACTGTAGTCTAGTACAGCATACACGCACTTGCTTTTCAGTCTATTTGAAAATGCACATACCCTCTCAATTCGGTACAATATGCACATGTTTACATTTTGGTCATGAAAAAACCATCTGTGAATTATGTTCGAGAAAAGTAGAGATGGAATGTACATTTTCTCATTTTACTTGACGCAATGCATTTTCATTTTGTTAAAAAAGTTGGTAAAATATTTTATGTGCTTGGATAAAAGGTGCGATGCCATCCTGACTTGAATAAGATTAGATGAGTCAAGTAGGAAAAAAAATCAGTTTCGGAATTTTTTTGAGATCACTTTAATCATTGATCAAAGTACTATACTCATTGAGCATAAAGACAAATGCTCTTGTTGCCCTTTTTTGCTCATAAAAAGCAAAAGAGATAACACTGCATTCTATGGCGAATGACTCATTTAAAGGGTATTTTTTTTGTACGGTCTCTGTTGATCATTCACACCACCTTAATGCCATCGGTTTCAAATATCTTGATTAAGAGAAATACCAAAATTCAATGACAATGGTGACAAAAAGAAACCGAAGCCGAAAAAAGAGGATCATCAGCTAAATTGAAAAATGACTCGTCTTGAAGAGATTCCGAAAATATTTATTAGTTTTCGAAGAATTTGTGTGTGTGTGTGTGCTTTGTCTCTTCTCTAGTTTTTTTTTTCTCATTTTCGATTTGGTTAAGTGATTTTTTGTGGTGCTTCTCGCATTTTACGCATTTCAATTCACGAAATGATATTGACGATGATGAAGTTCATTGAAGAAGTTCGCTTTGGTCGGCGAAACAACAAACGATGCCACCTATACAATTAATCGTGTTCGCTTATCGATCTATAAATGATTGTAGGTAGGTCAAAGGAGCTAATACAGTACGGGAAAAAAAATAAAAGAAAGAATAATATAGAGACGACGACTACGAGAATATTGAATGGCACCGATTAACACACACTCAGTGTTCAAGACAATTCTTTTTCGTCTTCTTTCAAGTCTTTTGAGTAAATTGTGTAGTTTTTAGTTTTGACCGAATGGACGGCGCACTTCAAGATTTATTGTATGGTTGGAGACACATTTCTCCTTTATTGTTCGTTCAAATGCATTACGTAATTTCCATTTTTAGTCCATTGGCGCCTATCACTATTGTTCTATCTCTCTCTTTCTCTCCCTTTTCTCTTTTTACGATGTGAAAATTTTATCAATGATTTCGATTCGTTCACGTTTGGCCCATTCTTTTTCCGCATTCCATTGCTTCGTCAATCGAGTGTTCTTTGTTTCCGATATCTCAACGATAGAGCTATAAATCGATGACATTTTTATGAAGTTGACTCATGCGATCACTGAAATTCTTAATTAAATTAATTCAATTTTAATTAATTGAATGAAACTTTTCGGAAATTTCTCGAACGACGGAATCTTCCGTTTAATTAAATTGCAACGAAGACAAAGTTTTGTTCGTATAAATCATGATTCATAATCACCATCATCATCAACAAAATACTCAAAAGAACCACATTTTTCAGACGAACATTTTTTTTACAAAGACTTTTGTCTTCGGTCAAAATGTGAAACCGCCATTCTCACGAAGCAGAGTGTAACGAAAGTAATTTTTCTATGTTGAAAATCCACAGAGAAAAACAACAAACAAGTGACCATTTAATAAATATGCAAGAAAAAATGATAAATATTGTTGTGTGTTTCATATAAACTAGGCTCGTATAAATCGAGTCGAAAATGAATGTCAATTCATCAAGCAAGAGCTTTGCAATGGCGTGCGCGCACGCGGAAAAATCGTCGATCTCAGACCATACGAATAAAGTACCATGAAAACAAAATAAATCGGTATCATTTTCCATTACGATGTTAGATGGAAACGAAAGCGTATGTGGTGAGGTGCGTTTTGATTGGTTGAAGAGAGGCGTGTCGAATCGGCCGCAATCTATACGTATATGTTAGTGTTATAATACGCGATCGTTGCACGAATACGATTTGGTATCCGCCTATTTTTATCGTGGAATTGCTTCGATATTGTTTCGTTTATTAATACAACTCACGCAACGCTTATAATTCATTCTTGAGAATTACCAAACGAACAGACTCACATATACTCGCACGCAATCGGCGAATCGATTAAAAAGAAATTTATCGAAGCTAAATTGAAAAAGAAAAAAAATTGAAATAAGAAAAAAAAACATAACAAATATGGATAGAATTCGTTGTGTATTGTGTCGTTCTGTTTTGAGTTGCATGGATATACATATGAAAATACCGAAACAACTTCAGTTATACTATATTTTACGTAAGAACACCTTAACAAGATCAATTGACAAAATCCACTTCATATACAGAGAAAACGAAGTATATTCGGTAGACGAATAAAAACAAAAAAACCAGTAAAGAATACGAATGGAGTAGAAAGAGCACAAAAAACGAAAATTTCTTTCAAGAATCGCTTCGCAAGTGTTCATATGTGTATGTGGCTGTGTGGGTGCCGTGTGAAAAGTCACTTATGTATATGGGCTGATTCATTTGACTTTGCCACACGCATACGAAGACTACTCTTTTTCTTATATATGTGTATTGTGATGCAGCGTATTACGTTCATCGAAAGCGCGCTAATGTAAAGCCAACAACAAATAACAAACGATATAATTCGTTTTTTTTCTCTCTTCTCTATTTCTTTTGGTTTTGTCTTCTGTTTTTTTTTCGGTGTGTGTAGGCAAAACCTGAATGCATACTCCAGACCAAAGCCATTCGCTCGATTTTGTATTCTCTGGAGACAGTTTATTCGAATTATCGCTGTGATGAGGTTGTGTTTTTTCGCCGATGCCGTTTATTGTTTACATTTATCCATCGCAACAGTTTGAAACGAAAAAAAAAAAACAAATTTTTTTTCGATGATTTCAAAATTATTTTTGTACCTCATTACTTTACGGTTGATTAAAGACATAGAAATGGTTTTTTGTTCGTAACAATCAGTGCGAGAGAAAATTAAATGGAATTTTATTGCTTTGCGTAAGAAAAACAAACACATTGTAGCAATTGCATTGGACATAAAAACATAGAGAAGAAAAAACACCGTGCACTTAGATTGTAAAAGAAAGACGAATCGAGTGTGGTTGTTACTTGCGGGAAAAAAGAGAAACGGTGATTTAAAAAAAAAAACACAGAAAACCGGCACAATAAATCCTTGTTTGATGTCAACTTTAAGCAAGAGTGTATGTGAAAGTATGTGAAATTCATGAAACTTGTTGTTCATTTGAGAATTGGAAAAATTACATCATATTTTGTATAAAGTGACAATAAAAGTGCATTTCGTTGTATTGGAAAGTTTTTGCCGTTTTGTTTTTCCTGAAAATGCGTGTATACTAGTAACGAAGCTGTAACAAATATCTAAACAAAATTATTTTCCTGTAATTCTGGTGAGTTTTTGCTGAAGTTGTTTGTACTTTTTTCTTATTTTATGAATATGTGTATTTTAATCACTATAAATCGGTTATTTCTTTGACTTTTGTACAAACTGTTTATCGATCAAAATCAGTTAGTGGTGTTTTGAAAGTGTATTTCATGTAGAAAGAAGGTAGATAAGGAAAGGGCTTAACATTAGTATTGTTGTTATTGGTGCGACTTTTTCAATCCATTCAACCAAATTCTTATTTGAAGAATTTCTCTCAATTCAAAACACTCTTAATGTCTTAATATAATTTACCTAGAAACGTACCCAAACTTTAACCGTATCTAAATAACACTTCCTAGATAAATAAATAGATCTTTCTCCGCCTCTTATCCGCTTCAGCATTCAAAAGTTTTCAGAATCAAAATATCTACCAAAATATTGTTCGGCGAATGCAAATCATATTTTAAACCTAAAAATATTTCAGTCTTTTTTTCTGCAGCTTCTTCAGTACAATATTCATTCAAATTCCCTTTGCTAGTTATTTCCAGAACTCAAGTTTGATAAAGCAATTTGCAAGAGATATAAAATATCAAATTATTTCACCCCTTCTTATCACGCTGGACTCTATTTGAGTTTTTTGTTCATTTTCTGTAAATAATATTTCATTATCTCGTTGATTCGTCTGGTCATATTAGTTGCTCTGTGAAGAATATCAGACATTATATTGAGATATTTTCAGCCAGATGAATCAGCTCAGCCAGATATCGTCAGGAGCTGAAATCGAATGAAAACAATAAAAGTGATTGTTATATTGATTGAGCAATGTAAGTGTAATTATAGCCATAACAATCAATTTTATTGTTTTCACTTAATTTCAGCTCCTGACGATATCTGGCTGAGCTG